TGTTGGGAAATAATGAGAGTTCGGCAATAACGTGAACATTTGCTTTTTGGCCCTAGAGAAAGCCCATGACCGGATTTTGTGTAACAGCGTGTGTGCATGCCTGCAAATGTATGGCATCGATGGTCAGTGGCTATGGGCCATTCAATCACTGCATGCTGATAAGAGGTGCTGAGTGAAGAAAAAATAGCGTAACTTAACAGACTCTTCAGTGTTGACAAAGGTCTAAACAAGGCTGCGTTCTGTCCCATCACCTGTTTGTAGTGTACACGGATAGAATAGTATGGGGCAGCTAAGGCGATGATCGTATTGGTGCAGAACATGTCGAGACGAGAAGGGTGCTGCTTCCAGATGACCTTGTTTTATTTTCATCTTCTGAAACTGATTTAAAGCACTCTTTGGAACTATCTGCAGTCGAGTGTGACGTGGCTGGCATGCGTTGAACGTATCTAAAACAAAACGTCTAGTGTGTTTTCTTCTCCAACTTACTGCTCTCTTGAATTAAGTGAGAAGCTGTGGAAAAGGTGAAGAAGTACCTCGGGCTGGTGATAGAAAATTTGAGAAAGAGACCGTCCGGCGGATTGGAGTAGCCAGTGCCGTTCTGCATGAACCAGGCAGAACCACTGTGACACTAGCAGAGCTGAGTCTGAAGACTAAGCACTCGCTGTTCAAGTCGATCTTCATCTCCATGTTTACCTACATTCATGAATCGTGGACCATGACTGAAAAACTTCGATTTCGGGTCTCGAAATGGTCCGGAATAGACATATCCGGGATAAACTTGGTGTACAGCCGCTGCTTCTTCAGACAGAGAAGTCACAGCTATGAATGCCTCCAGAAAGAAAGGCGAAGCAACTATTTCTTGTCCAGACGACCGGCCGAAGGCTGACGGGACGGAACGACCAAGATTAACCTGGTGCAAATACATCGAAGGAGTCTGCTCCAGAGTTTCTGTTTTCTGCTGAACCTCAGACTATGGCTCAAGGTCGGGAAAGTTGGAAGCACTGTCTGATAGGTCGGCGCCCGCGACCTGAGAGGAGAGGCGGTTACGGAAGATGAAATTTAAAGATTAAGAAAGCACAGGGTCAGCGAGCGAACGCATACCGGACAGATGACAGAACACATGCGTTCGAAAATGAACACCGGCGAAACGATGTCGTTCATCGAACAGGCTTTCAAAGAACGAACACAGATACGCATGAATTCAGGGACTCGACGTTCCATAACTGAAAAACAAGTAGCATATTACTACGGCACTGCAAAACGAATCGATGCAGGACTGAAGCTTTACCAGTCGAGTAATCAAGGAGCATAAGGAAATTAGACTGGGCATCATCAATAAGTTTTGTACGGTTGATCACCAGCTTCTTTAGGGCGATGTAACCGTTGAACACGGTTTCCAGCAGCTCTCCGACCCATCGCTTACGAACGGTTTCCAGACGATAAAGAGACAACAGAATATCTATGAATGATACATGATCATTTTTACCAGTACGGCAATCGCATACCGGTGTAAGCTCTAATGACGAAGCCTTGAGAAATATTGATGCTCATCTGAAAATCGTCAAGCGTAGTCAGTCGGGAAATTTCCTAAAACAACAAACGTGAAGAGCAACAGTCTGCAATAACATTACAATACTTAAAATTTGGCGAACAGCGGAACAATAGTTAAGAACAGTAATCTGTACAATAAATGAGAGTTGTGAAGAATGAAGCGAACACATAAGATACCTTCGAAATCATTGTTTTCATCTTAGGAAAGAACCCGTGACAGCTCAGGTAATGTTTCATCGTTTCATCGCTAACGAAGTACTCATAGAAAAAGAAGAACTCTTCTGCTTTTTCGCCGTGCTCAGACAGCCGCCAGAAATACCTTTAACTAAGTAATAAAATCAAAGACAGCAGCGATCAAATATGAATTACGATGTAGCCAAGTTCAACAAGGTAGTCCTTTGCGAAAGAGGTGCCGAACGAAACAGCCGCAGCAGTGAACCGGTGTACAAACGTACTTGCGCCGAACTGGGAAAAAACAACGTCTTTTCTAACCACTGTCCGCGTCCTAAAAACATCTGTGCCCCGGGGGTAATCGCCAGACGACTACTTTACCTTTTCGTATCTTCTTCAACCAGTAATTTCCATATTTTTTCATTAAATTAAATTCACTGAGCTTTTGCGACGCTATAAATGGAAAAGAAAGGTTTATCAAACCACTGTAGAAGCACGATGAAAGTTACATTTTGCATAATATTTGCCTTTAATTCAATTTTCTATAAACTTAAAAATTTTACGGAGTTTTGTAAGCAATATGGCAACAGATGCGCTTTCGACTCTACACCACTGCAGTTAAAAGTTTTACTGGTTTTATGATACGCAATCATTTATAAACCGCTTAAGTACTAGTTACATAAGAAAATTAACCCTAATGCACCGATAAGTTTGGTCACCCACGACAAAACCATTGGCCATATGTATATATATCATACTCGTCGTATAATCAAAATATCCGTCATCATTCGGCTTTCGACTTTTCTCTTGACTTGAATTATACACGTACATGGATGTATGTATGTACATTATACATATATGAAAATAAAACAGATTCGTATTTAACAAAGCAGTATTTCAACGTAATGGGTACCAGTTAACATCAGATTACTGCAAGCCACCGAAACAATTAGTATCAGTATGCATACAGTCAGTCGTTATCTGATCTGACTGGCAGAACGACAATGCTCTCAGTTTAAAAGGCGGTGAAATAGCCTAACGATAAAAAAATGTCAAAAGATCCACCTGATAAACTACGAATCCTGCTTCTATTCAATGTAATGTTTCAGCATTCTCATGATGGCACATACACATCATGCCGAAACTTCTGGTTTGTCAAAAAACATTTTGATGTTGTTATGCTGATAGCAATGGAATCAAGAAATAATCTCTTCCATTCACCAGTGGGACTGCAGTAGCATGAGTTACAGCAGCAACCACAGCTTTGGCCTAGAACGAGTACAACTAATGATGCTTTGCAAAGAAAAGGTTTTTTTTT